CCGAGGCGCCGGCCGGAGCACGTCATGGCAGAGGCGAGTGGGCGCGTGCAGGCGCCCCCGGCTCCGAAGCGAGCTTTTTCTCTTCCCCCCTCCCGGCTCCCCGCTTGCCTTTCCAGCGACGGCGGCGGTCGCAGAGTGTTTCCTGCGCATGCGCAGGGGACGCTCTGTGTGTTTCGGGGGGATTTAAACATCCCCCCGATTTCCCCCCCCCACATTCAAGATTTTTGTGCACACGTGGGGACTGCCCCACATGTGCACAAACCTCCCCCTGCCCCCCAAGTGCCCCCGAAGTGCGGATTTAGCGATCCGCACAGACGGGGCCACTTGGCTATTAGATATATAGATATAAATTATATAAAAGGGAAAATATTCTCCGTCCTATACAGTAGGACTGGTACTGGTATTTCTGGCCACTGTGTGATACAGAGTGTTGGACTGGATGGGCCTTTGGCCTGATCCAACATTGGCATCTCTTATGTTCTTATGTTCTTACGTTCAGTATGTACTACATGATTGTCTTTGAAAAACGTAATTCTGTTGTATAACCCTTTTTTCCTTGTTTTTTCCCCTTTTCTTCTCTGTACCCCCACTGTTTTCCTAAAAAAAGAAGAAACTAGGGATTGCCCAGCTTCCAGGTGGGACTTGGGGATCCCCCCAGAGTTACAACTCATCTTCAGAACACAGAGATCAGCTCTCCTGGAGAAAATGGATGCTTTGGAGGGTGGACTCCCAGGGCATCGTACCCCACTGAGGTCCTCGTCCTCCCCAGGCTTCATCCCCAAATCTTTAGGGGTCTCTGAGCCTGGATCTGGCAACCCTACCACCCCATCCCCCGCCGGTGGCCAGGGGGGACCCGGCAACCGTATCTCAAAACCATAACAGCCTAGTTTTACATTATCAGCAGTTAGGAAAGATGGCATATCAAAGATGGGTCCGCCGAATACAGCCGACTCCGAAGACCACCGGAAGGAGAAGAAGAGGAGCCGAACCGAAAGCCGAGCCGACAAAAGCCGAACCGGGAAAAAAAACAGTGAGTCCCTCCACTGGGTGCCGGTAGGGCAGTCCCCACCCCTGACTATGTGTGGCCATAGATAGGGATAAAAAAAGTAACTGTAAGCTGCTCAGAGACCCCTCGGGGTTCGAGCGGGATACAAGTTGAAAGCATAAATAAATAAATTACTGGAGTTCTTTTCCACTGGAATATCTTCCTTTCTATCATCTTTTCTGACAAATTCATCTCTAAAAGTTGCCCTTCTGTTTTTTCATACTCCCCCCCCCCAGCATTACACTGTTTGCAAAAATCCACATCCATAAGATAACACAAGGAGATCATACCTATGACAGCCACACTTCCCAGTGGAGCAACAAGCATGGCTGCAGCAAATCCATAAGCCGCAAAGTTCCCTATTTCTCCAATCCCCATAAGAATAATTCCGCACCACCAGAGTTTGCTTCGGTAAATGGGCTTCTGATTGGCTAAGCGTGCCAGCTGAACATGAGAATATTTCTGGAAGGACATGAAAGGCATAGGCTGAATGAGATCTGCATAAGAAAGGATCTGTCAGCTTTAAATTTCAGACGGTGAGATTCCTGTACATAACAGATAATGCATGACTGTAATACGATAAAAAGCTTTGCACTTCTTAGGTGAAATAAGGCTGCGATTATGCAATGCTGAAATTATAGAGATAATAAATAAATAAAAACTTCAATATGAGCTCACGTTAGCATACAGTGTAGGTGGTTTGCAATGCGCACCTTTGGAATCGCTTTCAAAATATGAACTTTTCAGAAACTTTGAGTTACTAGGGCACTCTAGTGCAAACTCCCACACTGTCTAAGAAACCACAAACACAGGGAGCTCCAGTAGTTTGGAGTCGTCCCCCCATATCATTATCTCAGTAACTGAAAATGCGGGGGCTCTGGGAAACCACTTGAGGACAGAACTGCAAAAAGAAGAGACCACCAGTGGAGGAATAATTTATTTATTTGGTCAGCTGGTCCTAAATTAAATTATGGCTCTTTGTTTGCCTCTCTAGAGTGCTACAGAGCGATTTTCAGGGCTCACCTACAGAAAGTTGAGGGGGTGATCTGGCTGGCTCAGGGCCAGGATTTCAGTGATCCACTATGATGGAGCTCACACAACACTTATGACTCATGAAAGACAAGAGGGACATTCCTACCCTGCAGTTCAACTGTTGTGGAAAAATACTGCCCAAGCGGCAGTTTGATTTTACTTAACCCAGAGAATCCCATGCTTTGCCCTCTGAGTCCCCACCACACACAAGCTGAACTTGACGCTTAGAAAGCACTTTGTTGCGCCGCACAAAATTTAGTATGGATTTGAGCTGCAAGAAACAAGTAGTCAGCCAGTAACTTGAAGGGCTCCAAGCACAAAAAGCCAAATGTAATCCTTCAGCCCTCTAGATACAGCAAGGATCCCCAATGTGGCGCCCCCTGGTGTCATGGTGCCCCCCCAACACCTTTCCTGGAGCCTGCCAAGCGCTTTCAGAAAGTGGGAGGGGGCAGGGAACACTTTCCCCCAGCTCACGTAAAAGGGATAGCGATGTTAGATGCCTGCAGCACGAAGACAGATATTGCCCAAAGAGAGTTTCTAACTAGCATACTTATTTTGTGTGTATGCAAGAAGATGTTTTCAAACAATGTTAACTTTAAAAGGCATCTTGTTAAATAGAGCTTCTTCCGGAAATGCTGAAGAGTTACTATCAAAGCCACGCATAGGGCAGCCATCTCTGTATTGGGAAATACCTGGAGATTTTGGGGGTGGAGCCTGGGGAGGGCGGGGTTTGGAGGGGAGAGGGGTCCTCAGCAGGGAATAAGGCAATAGAGTCCACACTCCAAAGCAGCCATTTTCTCCGGGGGAACTGGTCTCTGTCACCTGGAGATCAATTGTACTAGCGAGAGATCCCTAGGTGCCACCTGAAGGCTGGCAAACCTAGTTATGCATCACTTCACTCCCTGATGCTTTGTGGCTGGTTGCATATTCTGCGGCAGCCATTTTGTGGTTGTGCTCACCACTAATGTTCCCTCTAAGCTGAGTTAGTGTGAGCTAGCTCAGTTTTTTGGCCTCTGGCTCACACATTTTTGTCTTAGCTCAGGAAGGGTGGCCCCAGAGCAAACTAATTTATGCAGCAGCCAAATCGTTTGCTCACAACTTTAATGTCAGTAGCTCACAAAGTAGAATTTTTGCTCACAAGACTCCACAGCTTAGAAGGAGCCACCACCCTGTATCAGAATTCCCAAGTTGGCCGCGGGCTCAAAAGTTTATACAGTCTGTCTCGCAACCCTTTTAGACTAGCAAGAAAAATACTATTCTCCCTAAGGTCTGACATCACCACTTCCTAGGTTACAGTTCCCACATGGATGCTCCAAAAATCACACTTATGAGCTGTAATTCCACAGAGCAGCTGTTTATTTTTGAAAGCTGTTTTCTGTGGGGGTGCATCCAATGCTCCCTCTAAGCTGTGGAGTCTTGTGAGCAGAAATTCTACTTTGTGAGCTCCTGGCAGGGGTCATTTTGTAGAAAAAGAGCTAGGGAGAATCATTAGCATAACTCATTAGCATATGCCACACCCCCTGACATCACCGGCAGAGCATACTATCCTCCCCACAGCCGGCGGCGACCTCCAGCGGGCACCAGCAGGGAGCTCCAGGCCCCGCCCTCCCGCACCTCACCCGGGGGGATGGCGTCCCCCCGCGTCCCCCCCAAATGACCCCTGGCTCCTGGCATTAAAGTTGTGAGCGAGCGATTTGGCTGCTGCATAAATTAGTTTGCTCTGCAGCCATCCTTCCTGAGCTAAGACAAAAATGTGTGAGCCAGAAGCTAAAAAACTGTGGGCTAGCTCACACTAACTCAGAGGGAATACTGGGTTAATCCCAATTGTGCAGAAAGCCAGGACAGTGTTGGGCTTACAACGGAGGATGAGAGCTGGGGAGACCAGGGTTCAAATCCATGCCCCGTCACAGTGCTCATTGAGTGACCTTGGTCCAGTCACATTTTCTCAGCCTGACCTACCTCACTGAATTGTTGTGAGGAGAACAAGGGACATGGCCTGCCTTCAGCTCCTTAACAATGGATGGTATAAAAATATACTAGACCCATGGCTTCTCCATGCAGGGAGTGCTGGCACTGAGACTCTTAATGCAATTAGGGCGATCTACACAAAAAAACTGCTTTCAAATGTTAGATTTGTCATGTGAAGACGTACCGAAACAATTTTCAGTATCCTCTGCATGAGAGCCGTAACATTGGGTTGGTGGTTGAAAGATCCTTTGAGTGTACTGCGAGCACTGATCTCATGGCAACAGTAATCTGCTCTGCGCACCATGTCCTTTTGTCTAGATACAGTGAGCTATAGGGATGAAAGAGAGGAGGTATGCAGAGCTCCTCGGGAGCCCCAGAGATGGAGGAAATGCAGTGCATCTTGTGGCTCTTGGTCATATGGCAGTTTTGGCAAGTGGTTGCTAGACTGAAGAGCTCTGGCCAGCTTCTGCATACAGACGCACGAAATGATGGTGAGAGGGTATTCGAACCTGGGCAGGCCAGTAGCCATGGTGGGGCATTTGGGAGTGGAGCCCCACCATGGATGAACCCCACCCCTGCCCCACCCCAGGAGGATGCCAGACCCCCCCCCAGACCTCCCACCCTTGCTGCGCCACACCCCTTACCCCTGCCCCTCCACAGCCTCTCAGGTTCCTCCAGGGAAGCCACCCTGCAGCTTCTGGTCAATTTCACTCCCCAGGGATCAGCTGTTAAACCTGACAGCTGATCAGCGGGAGTGAAACTGACCAGAAGCAGTGAAACTGACCAGAAGCAGCAGGGTGGCTTCCCTTTCCTTCCCCAGCCTCTCTGCAGCTGCAGAGGGGGGGCTGGGGAAGGAAAAAGAGAGAGAGAAGCCTGGGGAAGGAAAGGGAAGCCACCCTGTCGCTTCTGGTCTGCCCCCCCATGTGTCCCCCCACCAAAATGTTCCTGGCTATGGGGCTGAACCTGGGTCTCCACACTCCCAGTCGAGCAGTCTAATCACAATGATGTCTGCAGAAAAGGTTAAATGAAACTGGTTTTTCAAAGCCATCCATGACCAGGACACCTATCCAATCACATAGTTCCTTGGAACAACATTTTGAGAGCTGGTGTGGTGTAGGGGTTAGAGTGTCAAACTAGGAGACCCAGGTTCGAATCTCCAGTCTGCCATGAAAGCTGGCTGGGAGACCATGTGTCAGTCATGTGTTCAGTGCCCTGAAGAACCTTGTGTTCCTCTGACCAGTGCCAGTTAACAGTGCCCTGCCCGAAAGCAGTGTTCCCTCTAAGCTGAGTCAGTGTGAGCTAGCTCACAGCTTTTTAGCCTCCGGCTCACACATTTTTTGTCTCTGCTCAGGAAGGAGGGCTCCAGAGCAAACCAATTTCTGCAGTTAGCCCAATCGCTCGCTCACAACTTTAATGCCAGTAGCTCAGAAAGTAGAATTTTTGCTCACAAGACTCCACAGCTTAGAGGGAACATTGCCTGAAAGACACCCGCCTTGCCTCAACCAAGACCAGGGCCTTATCAGCCCTGGCCCCAGCCTGGTGGAACATGCTCCCGATTGAGATCAGGGCCCTATGGGATTTACTGCAATTCTGTAGGGCCTGCAAAATGGAACTGTTCTGCCAGACCTCAGGCTGAAGTGGTGGATGTCAAAGAACTTCGGCTTCAAGCGACCCATGGCCCTATTTACGCCATGGGCACCAGCGGTGACTGACCTATTCTAGTTACAGCATGTCTCCGCCAATGTTCCCTCTAAGCTGTGAAGTCTTGTGAGCAAAAATTCAAATTTGTGAGCTACTGGCATTAAAGTTGTGAGCGAGCGATTTGGCTGCTGCATCAATCAGTTTGCTTTGGAGCCATCCTTCCTGAGCCAAGACAAAAATGTGTGAGCCGGAGGCTAAAAAACTGTGAGCGGGCTCACACTAACTCAGCTTAGAGGGGACATTGGACTCTCCGCCCTCTCCGGCATGAGCTCAGCCAGCACTGAGATAAGAAACTATCCAGAGTGGCCAGCAGGTATTTAAATCGTTAATTAATTTTTTTAACTGTTACTGATCATGTTTAATCATTTTAATAAATCTAATGTATGGTTTTATTGTTGGATGACATGTTGTGAGCCACCCTGAGCCTGCTTGTGGGGTAGGGCGGGATAAGAATCCCCAAAATAAATAAATAAATCCTCACAGGGTTGTTGTGAGGATAAAATGGAGGAGAGCAATGCAAGCCGCTTTGAGTCCCCATTCAGCAGAAAAGTAGAGTGTAAATGAAGTAAATAAACAACACGTTTGCAGCGGGGTGGGTTACGATTTCTGCCGATTCCCCCTTCCACTGCAGGCCTCTGTGCTATTCCTGAGAACTTCGACAATGAAGTTTGGGGGGCTTAGTGGGATGTAGCAGGGAAGCAGGGAATCCCTATTTTGTGGAACCCATGGGTGGTTGGATACACTCCAATTAAACAAAAGAATAAACGCAGTCATAAAGTGGTTCATATTGATTAAAATGAAAAGAACCTATTTTATGCAAATGAAACCATTACTGAAAACTCCAATTACATTACAGTGCAACTGATGGTTCAGTGTGGCTTAGTTGTCAGAGTTAGGATCTAAACTGCCTCACAGAGCTGTGTGAAGATAAAAGGCAGGCAGGGAATAGAGCTGCCAACCTCTAAGTGGGGACTGGAAATTGTTGGTTACTGTAACTCTGCATGCAAGAGGGCCTGGGAGGGGAAGGGCTAAGAGAATTCTCTGCTTGGGCACACTTGGCAGTCGGCCCTCTCATGTTGAGCCTTCTGTTTCATCTTACATAGGTCTTTTTTTCTCTCTCTTCCATGGACTGGAGCAGTAGCAAGTTAACCTTTCTGGAAGTTATTCTGTTCACAATAGGTTAAAGGTATCTGCATGACTATGTCATGTAAGATGTGTTTCTGTTTTTGTAAATAAAGTTTCTTTCTCTTGTTATCATTGGAATCAGGTCATCTTTGTAATTTGTTTGAACAGCATTTTCCCCTTAACTGGGAAATGTGGAGGATCGGGGATTACAACCACTCTCTCTAGACTACAGAGATCCCTGCTTCCCTTGGAGAAAATGGCTGCTTTGAAGGGTGGAAAATGGCATCGTCCCCCCCTTTCCCTAAATCCCGCTGTCCCCAAGCTCCACTCCCAAAATCTCCAGAAATTCCCTAACCCAGAGTTGGCAACCCTAGTGCGGAAAACTCCATTTGGCACCCTGAGTTCCATGAAAGTTTGGGGAAATACGAATCAAATAAATAATTTTTGTGATCTATCAATAAACTGTAAACAGACATTAAATATAGGGTTTCCAGGTCTTCCCTGGCCACCAGCAGGGGATGGGGGGGTAGGGTTGCCAGATCCAGGTTGGGAAACTCCTAGAAATTTGGGGATGGGGACGACTGGGACCCCAGTGGGGTACGATGCCACAGAGCCCACCCTCCAAAGCATCCATTTTTTACAGGAGAATTGATCTCCATAGTCTGGAGATAAGCTGTAATTCTGGAGGATCCCCAGGTCCCACCTGGAAGCTGGCATCCCTCCCTGGGCTACTGAGTCTGGCTATGTAATTCTCATTACAGCCTACGATATAACAGTGGAGATTTTCATACCTGCAGATTCAAAGAGATGCTGATGAGAAAGTTTCCTGCGATTGCCAACACAATGCCTAAGAGCAATGTCTGTGAAAACAAAACATCCATTTGCAGTTAGAGATACAATTTTCAGAACAGCGGGAAAACATTCATAAACTATCCTTTATTTATAACAGAATGGGAGGGAAATGAACTTTTCTATTACTTAATGCATACCTGGCTAAGTAAATCAATGAAGATTATCGCGGCTTAAATAACTTTACAAATAATGACCACCGTGCACTTACTTGCTAGAGCATTCCACAATAATGTAAGCTATTCCCCCGTACAAAGTAAGATCCACTCCATCATACAATTTTCCCTGCACTCCTTGAGTAGACAATTTTTATTATAGCCTCCGAGAAAGTTAGATTGTATTTAAATTAACATGACAATAGATGTCTGTGAATTCCTTTTAAAAGAATGAAACAGTTCTCTCCATGTTATACTATATGGGCCAGTAGCAACATTAAACCACATTTAGAATGTATGGGAACCATCACAAGGAGTTAATTTAACCTGAATGCCGTACATTTGGGTGAAATCAAATCACGTTGGAGGCAGCCAAGAGTAACCTTATACAGCTCTCTAAAAATGTCAGATGTGCTGGTGTTATCAAAACATCCAGCCAACCCAGATGTAACTATACTCCAGTGCTGCAGTTATACCACTTTCTCGATCCATTCTACTGTGGCAGTTCAAAGCAAAGAAATCTTTACCACTTTCTTTGGGTTCAGTCATAAAGCATTTTCGATAAAAGGATAGAATGCTCTTCTGCCTTTGAACAGCATCCTTCTGAAGCATAATTTTCCATTAAGCAACAATGGGTTTCCACACTCCCTTGCAAATTGCTGGCAGGAACCTCTGATCTTGGTTTCTCTCTCCAATTCAGAACACATTGAAAAGTTATATGGATGGATAAGGGGGACAAGAGGAGGAGGAAAGGATGGGGGAGGGAAGGATGTTAGCGAATGGGAGCCAGGACACAGCCAAGGGCAGGGGAGGACTTAGCCAATGGGCAACAGGGATAGTTGCTCTGGGCCCTGCTCATGCCCCCCTCCCCAAGGGGAGTGGAAAAGAAGAGCAGGTTCTGCTGCTGCTTGCACCTGCCCTCTCTGGGACTCGGGTAGCTGGCTTCTGGGGGCATGGTGGCTCCTGACGACCTGGTACAGGGCGAGAGTCACTCCTTGCAAGCCCTGATGAAGGGAGCCAATGGTTGGTTGGCACTGATCCTGGGGCCTGATCTTGGATTTTTACTTTTGCCCAAGAATCAGTAAGACCACCCCCTGTTCAAGGGACACTCTTCCAACCTGACAAAACCTGATGGAGAGCAGACGTTTATTATTTATTTAGAGAATGTGTACTCCACCTCTCCAGATCCGCTTGAAGTGGCTTACAACTAAAGCGATACAACAAATCCAGCCAATAAAACTAAGGTCTATAAGAATGTGTGATGGCATAAAAACAAGCCAAGCAAATCAAAACTAGCCAGAGCATAAAAAATACATCAAACAAGCAGAAAAGTCTGAAAAGATGTTGATGAAACCGTCCACAGACTAGGAGCAGACCACAGAACAGCTTTAAAACATACCTGAATTCATGAGGCTGCCTCATACAGAATCAGACCCTTGGTCCACCACAGTCAGTATTGTCTACTCAGACTGGAAGGGGCTCTCCGGATCTTCCACATCACCCACTACAAGATCCTTTAATTTAGGATTGATAACCCCCTGGTAGTACCTGGAGATCTTCTGCTATTACAATTGATCTCCAGGTGACCAAGATCAGCTCCAGTGGAGAAAACGGCTGCTTTGGAGGGCGGACTCTCCAGCATTATTCCCTGCTGAAGTCCCTCCCCTCGAGGTCCCTCCCCTCCCAAACCCCGCCCTCCCCAGGCTCCACCCCCAAACTCTCCAGGTATACCCCAACCCAGACCTGGCAACTCTATTTTAACTGGAGATGCCAGGAATTGAACCTGGGAGAGATGCTCTACCACTGGGCTTCCCCCTCCCCCCAATGGAATGCCTTCGTTTAAAAGCTTGGGTAAAGAGCAATGCTCTGACCTGAAGTCTAAAGGAAAGTAAGTAAGGTGCCAGGTGAGCCTCAAGAGAGAGGGGATTCCAAAGGTGAGGTGCTACCACCAAAAAAGCACTGTATCAGATCACCACATACCTCACCTTTGCAGGCAGGGGCACAGATGGAAGGGCTTCAGAAGAAGATCTTAACTGGCAAGATGGACACCACAGGGCCCAACCAGTTGGCTTGGAGAAGCGGAGGAGGAGGAGGAGGAGGAGGAGGAAATAGTAGTAGTAGTAGTAGTAGGTTTTATACCCCACCCTTCACTACCTGAAGGAGTCTGGAGCGGCTTACAATTGCCTTCCCTTCCTCTTCCCACAACAGACACCCTTTGAGGTAGGTGGGGCTGAGAGTGCTCTGAGAGAACTGTGACTGACCCAAGGTCACCCAGCTGGCTGCATGTGGAGGCACGGGGAAGCTCCCCAGATTAGAGTCCGCCGCTCTTAACAACCAGTACACCGCAGCTGAGGAAGGTATGTGCTGTTTCAGTGCATTTCAATAAAACCCCTGTATTGTTTATTATTTTTTATTTATTCTATTTCATTGTATTTATATCCCACCCTTCCCGCGAATGGTATACATCTCGTGCCTGGAAAACTCTATGGGGGTCACCATAAATCATCTGTGACTTGATGGCACTTTCCACCACCACCATAGAGTGCTTCAGCCCATGATGGTGCCATTGGTCCATAAGCCTGGAACTGGAACAACGTGGGCTGCACAGACTGTCAGTGATTGGCTTGCTGCAATGATGACCTTGGGGGGGGGGGGGAAGTACGGCTTTTTCTGCTGGGATTTCGTCTTAGGTTGCCAGAAATACCCGGAGAGTTTGGGGGGTGGAGCCAGGGGAGGGCAGGGTTTGGGGACAGGAGGGATCCCAGCAGGGTATAATGCCATAGAGTCCACCCTCCAGGTAGCCATTTTCTCCAGGGGAACTGATCTTGGTCATCTGGAGATCAATCGTAATAGCAGGAAATCTCCAGGTACTACCTGAAGGGTGGCCACCCGAGGTCTGACCATGTGCTAAAGCGCCACAGCAGGGCCTCAAAGAACTGCTGCTGGGCTGCACCCAATGGCCTTTAAATCCTGTTATGCACAGTTATTCCTACAGACAGAAATGGGATTAAGCATGACCATGTATGCCTGCTACCCTAGAGAAAATATCCAGTTCTATGCCAAATATCTGCGTTCCGTCACATTTTCTTGTTTTTTAGCTACATTTCAGGAGCAGCAGATCAGTTGAAATCCAAGTTTCATCTAAAAGGGGGGGAAATGGATTGAGGCCAACATGGGGTTTTATATTACCCGAGGAGTCTCTTAACTTCTGCGGAACGCAGGTTATCTTGTAGGCTGACATCGATAGAGCAAACCATTGAGATTTTTATAGCAGTCAAAAATGCAGCTGGCTTAAAGTTTTAGCTCAATACCATCAACGATTAGATCCTTTTATACTCCCAGGGGAGGAGTTTTATATCTGCGTTGACTATGGGAATAGTTCTCAGCCCACGCTTCCCAATCCACAGGCTGCACTTCTTGACTCTGTGTCATTCAGTGGTAACAGAGATACAGAGCTGTGTTTTTAAAAAGGAAACATCCGCTCTGGTGCGCCAGGGAGGAGTTCACAGCTGTTATTTCCATCCAGGCAAACACCTGAAAAAACCTATGTAAAGGGAAGGGGCACCAGGGCCGGCTTATCCACTAGGCACAGTAGGCACAGTGCCTGTGGCCCACGATACTTTTAGGGGCCCATGGAAATGTTTTAACTTGTTTTAAAATCAGAAGGGGAAAAAATAAACTTTTAGGGTTAAAAAGTTTTAATTTTTTTCTCACATTAAAAAAAATAATGAAATGTTTAGGGCCCACGAACATTTATTAAATTTTGCCTAAAACAGGAGGAAAAAACCCCACCAGAATGATGAAGTATTTAAAGTTATATCAAAAATAATTTTGAATATTGGTGTTATGATGGCGGGAGGGGCCCAGGAAGGCGGAAGGGGTTGAGCCCACAAAAGTCCGAATGTGGCCCTGAGCAGTACCTTTGAGAAACACGGAAAATGGAAATTACGCGGTGGTGGAAAGTGCCATCAAGTCACAGCTGACTTATGGGGACCACGCAGCATTTCCAACTAGGGTCGCCAACCTCCAGGTGGTGGCTGGAGATCTCCTGCTATTACAACTGATCTCCTGATGACAGAGATCCGTTCCCCTGGAGAAAATGGCCACTTTGGAAGGTGGACTCTAGGGTATTGTACCCCACTGAAGTCCCACCCCTCCCCAAACCCTGCCCTCCTCAGCCTCCACCTCCAAAATATCGAGATATTTCCCATCCTAAGACTGGCAACCCTATTATCAAGGCAAAAGACAACCATAGGAGTTCTACCATTGCCTGCCTCTGCATTCATACACAATATAAGGTATATTACAGAATCACAGAGTTGGAAGGGACAACTGAGGGGTGACATGATCAAGGTTTACAAGGTTATGCAGCATGGGATAGAGCATGTAGAGAAAGAAGTACTTTTCTCCCTTTCTCACAATACTAGAACTCGTGGGCACTCAATGAAATTGCTGAGCAGTTGGGTTAGAATGGATAAAAAGAAGTCCTTCTTCACACAAAGAGTGATTAAAACATGGAATTCACTGCCACAGGAGGTGGCGGCGGCTACAAGCATGGACGGCTTCAAGAGGGAACTGGATAAACATATGGAACAGAGGTCCATCAGTGGTTATTAGCCACAAGTATAGATAGGAACTTTCGGTAGGGGGCAAATGATGCCCTGTATTCTTGGTGCTTGTGGGGGGCAACAGTGGGAGGGCTTCTAGTGTCCTGGCCCCACTGCTGGACCTCCTGATGGCACCTGGTATTTCTGGCCACTGTGTGACAGAGTGTTGGACTGGATGGGCCATTGGCCTGATCCAACATTGGCTTCTCTTATGTTCTTATGACCTCCAGGGTCATAAGTACAGTGCAGGAAATTCACAAAATTATAAGATCTAACAGCCACCTTGAAGGGCTGTCCCAACAGGATGATGGGGCACAAATGTTTTGAATTAATAAATAAATAATATACTTCACAATTAAGTTTTCATTTAAAAAAACCACACGTATTCAAGAGTTTCATTAAAGTAGACCTATTTCTTCTTTCTCTTAATGACAAGCAGAAATACCAAGGTATTTGTGCGATATGCATTAGTTGCCTGGCTCCTCTGGCAGTACAACAGTCACCCAATTCTGACTCCAGGCAATTATTTCAATGTATGTTGCACCCTATGCCAAGGGACTGAGGCAAGTAATGACATATGAAATATGCAACAATGAAACAAGAAAAAAATTGATGAAACCAAGAACATAAAATGCCTGCTTGAAATATTAAACAGGAACGGTATGACCCGCCCAAATTAAGCATTCAGTGGGAGAGAGTTAAGCATGTCATTCCACTAAAATCAACATGATCTAAATATGCTTAACTTTTGCTGGACTTCACACTGAATATTCATATAGATTAAAATTAAAATCTGTTCAAGATTAAATAGATTAAAGCACTTGCTGGTTTTGTTTTTGTTGTTATTGATCATTTGGGTTTTATCCGCATGTGTTCCAGTTTAATTTCATTTTCTTTGTATTGTTTTGATATTTTAATATTCACAGCTTTGAAACTTTTTCTTTTGAAAAAGGTACATAAATTTAGTAAATAAACAAAATCATCCCATATCTGTGGAAACCCAAGTCGTTCAAAGCAAGGAAGAAGTCATATGTTGACTCAGAAAAATGCCAAAGCTCAGATTTTTGAAGGGACGCCTCCTTCTATAGGTCCCTGTGTGCCAGCTACAGTCATCAAACAGCCATCTGTTGGCTATCCCACCACCTCTTAGGGGTGGCCCGTCAGGCATGGACCAGAGCCTGGGCCTTTCCCATCATGGCTGTGGAATGGAGTCCCCGAAGAGGTGGGGGGAGGCCCTCCCTGGAGATCTTCAGGAGGCGCAGCAAGGCTGGCCTGCTTGCCTGGGCTTTTGAAGGGATCTGTATGGTAGGCATCTTTTAAGGGAGGAAAGGGGAAAGATTACGGGTTTGCTATTTGATGTTCAGTTTTAACTGAAAATGTTTTTAACTATTGTTCTAAGGCACCCTAAACCACAAAGAAAGGCAGGATACAAGTGTTTAATAAATAAATACATTTTGATGGAAATTCCAAAGCAGAGAGGGAGCCACCGGGAAGAATGCAGCTCTATATGTTCTTACTGTTCACACTCCTTGGAGCACACACAGTGAAGTCAGCTATTGGTCTTTGCTGTTTACCCACACTCTATGGACATTCATCTTTGGTAACAGTCATCAGAATTAACCAGAGTAACTAGGAGTCAGTGTAGATGGAGGTGGGTAGCCATACTGGTCTGAAGCGGTAGAACAAAGGCTGAGTCCTTTGGCGCCATTAACACCAGCAAAGTTTATTCAAGGTATGAGTTTTGTGTGCATGTGCACTTCATCAGACACAATGAAATGGCAAAATCACTCCTGCCTTTGGGAGCAGGAGAAGGAAGTTTCGGGGAGCACAGTAAGCCACCGAGTCCATTAGATATGGAACTCCTGTGAAAACAGCATCGCCTGCGAATCCCGTTGTGTGGCAGCCGCAAATGACTGTGGCAGATAAGGCATAATGGGCAACCAAATCATCCAGTTTTAGTTTTTAGTCACTCACCAGCCACTGGATGATCTCTGCCAAACCAGGTTTTGTTTTGCTTTGTGCCTGGGCTTCTCCCATGATGCAAGCAGTTCCCCTGCTAACTCATCCTCCTTATCCGGGAAAGCTCAGAGCTCAGGCTTCTAGGGCCTGCAGCAGTGATGGAGAGCCAGATGCCCGAGGGTGACCAACAGAATCTTGGCAACTCAGCACCAACCACATCTCCACTTGTGTGAAACGCTTTGCGATTTGTTAAAGGGTTTTCACAAATGCCTGCTAACCTTTGAAAAGTCCATGGTCGAAAGTGCAAGAAAGGAAGATGTCTATTTTGGATTATGGAGGGTAGAAAGGAGGCGTTGAAAAGGGGAGGGACGATTGATTATGTGCCCATTTGAGGAGCAGAGGAAGGCACGGCCTGTTGGTGGAATTAGCGCACGACGACAGCCTAGCGGCTCAGCCTCCCGGCTGCCCACTTCCGTGGCCCCAAAGCCAGCCAACACTGAAATCAAGTCAGGATTTGCGACGGGCCGGCCGTCCCCTTACCTGATTTGCGTAGTACCACCCACTGGACAGAAACCCACCGCTGGGCTCCTTCCACCTGGAAGTGGCGTTGGGGAGCGGCTGCAGCTTCACCATCCTCCAGGCGTCGCACCGGCTCCTCCGCCCGCCCCCGCCCGGGGTCTTCAGCCGCACTCGCGGGCGAGGCGACCGAGGGTCTTTGCGCTCTGGCGCCAGGAGCAAGGGGAGGGGGGGAGGGAGGGAGGGAGGGCAGGCGGCGTGCAGGGCTTCCTTCCTCCCACTTCCTGGTCTGGAGTTGTTTGAGAAGAGGGAGGGCTGTTTGGACAGGTTGCTGCGCCTGTCTCCGGCCGGAACACGAAGCAGGTGCCTGGCTCGCGCTCGGCCAGGAGGGAGAGAGAGGGACGGGCGGCGCTACCCCGGGGGAAGACGCTGGCCGGCCCGTTTGGCGGAGCACCGGAAAGAAAGAGACGGGAGTGCCGAAGAAGAAGAAGAAGAGGCCCGCAGGAGTTCTGCAGCAGAGAGCTGCTTTCCCTCCTTCGGCAGTCCTTTGAGCGGCAATCGCCTGCGCCTGAATTTCCGCTACTCATACAATGCACAATCAAGACCTTTGTGTGGTGGTTTTGTTTTGTGAATGGGAGAAACGGTGTAGCAAAATAGCACACCTTTCTTCATCACTGAGCGTGCTGTAAAGGGTGGCCACTGGGTTGCCCACACATGGAATCCCTTCAGAGGCTACCGTGGCGAATGGATTCCAGCCTGTGGCTGGGGCACGCGTCCACATAGGAGGGCAAAATCTGCACAAGGCTGTGAATTGCAGCAGCGACAGAGCACACCCACTGAGACACCGGGCGGACTGGACATGTCAACCTGAAATTTACACATATGCAAGGATGAAAATAAATTTCTTACTGCTCCAGCAGGGTTCAAAGCAGAAGGTGGAAGGTATCTGTTTGGCCACTTTGAAGCTTCCTTATACAGAATAAGACCTTTGGTCCATCAAGGTCAGTATCGTCTACTCAGCCTGGTAGCGGCTCTCCAGAGTCTCAGGAAGAGGCTTTTCACATCACCTGTTCAGGGCCAGCTCACCCACTAGGCGAACTAGGCATTCGCCTAGAGTGCTGGGCCCTGGATGGGGCGCCGAGCTGTGCCTCCCCCCCTGCCGCCAAAAGCCCGCAAGCAGCTCTCCAAGTGTCAGCACTTCGCTAATTGTTGAGAGGCATCCGGTGAGCATCCCCCACCTGGAGTCAGGATTCCCCCCCCACCTCCCTCCCAAACTGCCTTCAGAAGCGGAGCACGAGAGAAATCTCTCTTCCATCTTGGAGGGCACTGCAGGAACATGTGGGGCATGCTCACTGGGTCTGACAACTGCAGGAGGGGGGGAGGCAGTGGCGGCAGTAGCAAAAGGGTGGGTGGCTCCAGAGGTCTCCAGGCCCCACCGGGAGGTTGGCATCTGCACCACAAGGCAGCCTCGCCTAGGGCGCAGAAACACCTCGAGCCAGCCCTGCACCTGTTACCTGATTGTTTCAGCTGGAGATGTCAGGAATGGAACCTAGGACCTCCTTCTTGTCTTTCTCATGGGATGTGAAGGCGGGAGAGGCCGTCTCAGCCACTTCCTTACTGGTACTCCACACCATCCATAGCAGTTTACTTTTCCTCCTGTGTCACATCTGAAATGGATGCAACCATGTCTTTAGCTTACAGTTCTGGCCCCCGGGAGAGATCTGAATGCTCCGTGTTGTTGGGCATGACCAAGAAGTGTGGCAACAGGAAGCCTCTCGCCTTTGTGTTGCCTGTCCAGGCTGTCAATCATGTCCAGGATTGCTCAGCATTCAGTCAACTGAAACCAAATATCTTCAGACATGAAAGAAGGGGCCATTTCTCAATGAAAACAGACAAGGGACTGTAGACTTGGAGTGTGGCTTTATAATTAGAATGCTATTTAAGATTCTGAAAACAGATTTGCCTGAAAGGGGGATGGAACATCATGAAAAAATGCCAATTCCACACACACACCTTGGCCTTTAATGCTTAACACTGCCCACCTGCAAGCCTCCTGTAGCGGCAAAGTGTGAGCGCTGCTTCCATTTCCCCACACTGGCACAGGAGGAGACCACATTGTCAGGCAAAACTCTTTGATTGTATAATGAGGCCGGCAGCCTGCACTCATTCCCCCCTATCCTCCAGGTCGGCTTGTTATTACTGGGCAATACTCCCAGAAACACACGCCGTACAGCCATAATAATAACAGCCATGCCCTTCTAATACCTCTCTGCTTATTTACTGTGAGAAAGACTCAGGCTATACTGGCAATAAAGACGCATATTACAATTGAGGAATATTTATAAGAGTAATTACAATGGGGAACAGAAAGAAAAGAACAGAAGGGGGCAAATAAAAGAGCGGTGGGTCCCCCCCCCCAGTCAAACATGCCACAAGATGACAATTGCTGGCTTAGCCAGTGTGGTGTAACAGTTGAGAGTCAGATTGGAACAGCCAAGGTTCAAATTCCCCACTCAGCCATGGAGCTCAGTGGATCGCCTCAGGCTTGTTGGTTCTCTGACTGAGCTTGGCCTGTTTCACAAGGTTGGCGGGAGAGTGAAGTGCAAGATGTTTGCTGCCTTGAGGTCTCTCAAGGAAGGGCAGGATAAAAATGCAACAAGCAGCTTTTGAAAAAGAAGTAGATGCTTCAGTGGAAAATGGGACTGCCAGTATCGGGTAATATGAAATGGCTGCCTTCACCCCACCCTCCTTCCTTCTGAACTTCCCAGGGATCCCTGGCTGACCACTGTTGGAAACCGGTGCCTGGTCTAACAGAGCTGTTGGTCTCTTGCAGGAGGACAATGGTTGTGTTCTTGCAGAAATAGAAATCCTGCCATCCCGTTCTTCTCCCATTTAAGTATGGAACGTCTATTGATTTCTATGGGTAGAGTTCATGGTTACGGACAGCTATTTGGATGGCTGTTACAGTAGAAGAAAAAATGGCTGAGAAACTGGAGTCACCGAAGTCTGGGAAGGAAGGTGGCTTTTGGTGTTACTCTAACCATGTCTCCAATTGCCACTCCTTCACTTGCTCCCATACTGTTGGAGTTTCAAATTGCTTACACTTCAATCATTACAGAGTTAAGCGTTGTTTGTTAGGAAACAGGAAGTTACATTACATAATGTATTATATGGCGGGAAAGTTTGTGGGAGTTGCTTACCCTAATGAAGTGACCTGTAACCTTTGTATTGGTCAACTAACAACTTGCTTGTGGAAATGCTTTGATCTAGCATTAATGTATTCACAAGGTTTATGGCTCTTTGTGTGAAACAGACAGGAAGCTCCCACTAGAAGCCAAGATAGATAAATAGAAAGATGTAGCTGTTAGTATGTAGTGCTGAAAGTAACTGCAAGTATGTAACCTTTTCATTTTATTTCTTTTATCCAAAGTACCTTACCCATGCTTTATTTTGTTTTGTAGTAAAGATATTTTTCTTTTACTAATGTGACTCTTGTGTTTGCAAAACGACCATCTATCTTGAACCTCAGAATCCCAACAAACCATGTCTCCAATTGCCACTCCTTTACTTGCTCCCATACTGATACAGTCATTAAACTTTTGCTAGAGAAACTTGAATTCTATGGTTTGATAGTCTCTGAGGTAATCAGCCTTCACCACAGACACTGGTGACTCCAATGAAGGTATGTTTTGACCCATTCAGCCCTGGATAGCAGTTGTAGTCCCTTTACTTTCTCCAGAAGTCAGTGGGAGCCATTTGATTTCATACATACTGCCCAACCCACTGATGGGCCTTTCACTAACACGATCGAAACATTTTCTCTTTTAGAAGAAGAAGAAGAAGAGAATAGATTGGATTTATACCCCGCCCTTCACTACCCAAGGGAGTCTCAGAGCGGCTTACAAACTCCTTTCCCTTCCCCTCCCCACAACAGACACCCTGTGAGGTGGGTGGGGCTGAGAGAACTCTGACACAAACTGCTCTTTTTCAAGGACAGCTGTCCCAGAGCTTGTGACTGACCCAAGGTCACATCAGCAGCTGCAAGTGGAGGAGTGGGGAATCAAACCCGGTTCTCCCAGATTAGAGTCCGCGCACTTAACCACTACACCAAACGTTTTACTCAAACGTTACATAGATTCACTACTGGCAACATAGCATTTTATTTTTTCCGTAGCACAGTGACTAAGCTCTCTGTGGCAAAAGATACATGGCTGATCCAACAAATTCCATAATAATTATTATAATTATTGCATGGCATTGTATGTAGAATAACCAGGAGATCCTAAGATTGCCTGGCAGAAGTCCTAGCTCTTTAGTGTTATGCAGTACTAGGCGGCAAGCTAGACTTGTTTTTTGAGGCAAGAGACATTTCAGAGGTGGTTTGCCATTGCCTGCCTCTGTGTCACGACCCTGGTATTCCTTGGAAGTCAAGTCACCCATCGAAATACTAGCCGAGGCTGACGCTGCTGAGCTTCCAAGATCTGATGAGATCAGGCTAGCCTGGGCCATCCAGGTCAGGGGCACAAATTCCATAGCACAAATGGAGCTTCTATACCAGTGGGGACTTCCCCATTTATTTCAATGAAGGGAATAGCTGCAAAGTAAGCAAAAGGACATTTGTTTGGAGATGCAGCTACCATTAAAGTGAAAGGGGAAGGAGGTGTTTACCTGCATTGTAGCACACGTGGAAGCAGAGGTCCATCAGTGGCTATTAGCCACAAGGTATAGATAGGGGCTTTGGGACAAGTGATGCTCTGTCTTCTTGGTGCTTGGGGGGTCAACAGTGGGAGGGCTTCTAATGTCCTGGCCCCACTGGTGGACCTCCTGATGGCACCTGGTATTTCTGGCCACTGTGTGATACAGAGTGTTGGACTGGATGGGCCTTTGGCCTGATCCAACATTGGCATCTCTTATGTTCTTATGTTCTTAACTCTTTTGTTCACTTCGTACAGTCATAAGAAAGGTTTGTTTTCAAGTTAAACACAGGTAAAGTGGCCATGACAGAAGAAGAAAGGTTATTTCTGGCCAAATAATTGTGCAGCTACCTTGGACATGGGTTGCTTCAGTCCCATTGAAATCAATGGAGTTTAAGCAGCTAAGCCATGTCTAGGAATCCTGTCTGTGTCTCTGCTCGACATCCTGATTGCACAGAAGAAATGCAGAGGGATTTCCATGTCTGCAGACCAGTTAATTTACAGTGATAACA